TCATGTTAACTCCAACTGTATATACAAATTTATAAGTATATGCAGAAGCAGTTACATTCAAAGAACAGAGACAAAAGCATATCTACGGTTTTCTGAACATGTACCAAAAAGCTTATGTCTAAAGGGAACAAATGCTTTAAACAGTGCCATCGCCAGGCATCTCCTTGACATGGTTCTTGAGGTGGACATCGCAAGATCGTTCAAAACTATCAGTAGTCAAAAGAGTCCAATTCTCTTCAGGTTTACCGAAGCAATCTCCATCAATCGCCTGAAACCCGATTTCTGCATTCAGAAAAAGGAGGTTATCAGTCTTCCCTTGCACTGGCAACTGGATATTTTCATTTTCTCTTTCATCTGATTACGTAATGCCGAAAGTTCCCATTGTTTATGATCATTATTGTTCGGGATAAAGTGTTTATTATTTATTATTATATGTATTATTAGTGTGTGCATATACTGATTGATTGATTGTTGTTTAAAAATGAACTATGTGCAAGTTCACATTTATTAATCTGTGCAGGTATGTTAATACTAACATTGTTTACGTAGCTATACCTAATAATGACTTTGGGTTATGAGCAGATGATGAGAAGCCAACAAAATAAATGATGGTACGATTTTATTCAGCAGAAACTGTTCTTGCTTTATTCAAATTCATTCATAAACGAATGAATTTTTTTTTTTGATTACAGTTTAATTCCACACTGTATTTTTGGTACAAGTATGGAATTTTCAGCATGGATATCGGTAGCCCAAATTTTGCAGACCGACCATAGATATCAGCTGTGCGTCGGTAGGGGATCGAACCTCGGACCATTGTGCATGGTCGGCGAGATTCTTAACTACTGTGCCACCGACGTCGTGAATTAGTGATATCAACAACATTAATATTGTTGAAATAACATCGAATCAATAATAGTAATAATATCAATGGATTACAGTTCGATAGCACCAACATAACAACACACGCTGAATATCGGAACAATTAGAAAAAATTATAATACAGATTCATATTGCAGTGAAACTTGTTCTTAACTATTTGTATCAATAATACATAGTGTGAAATTTACCTATGCACTTTTGAACAAGCATAGTGTTGTGACCGATTTCATGCTGTTTTGTACTTTATAAATAAACACTTGTACAACATAAAATTATATATATATATATATATATATATATATAAGAGTAATACGTTTGAGCTGGTCAGCCTCAATTATTGTTTAAAACGTATTTATTAGTGTGTGTTAATTTGCACTACAATTTAGGTTTACTGCCAACGGCTTATTTAAAAAACACATTTGATACACTAGTGCCGGTAAGCGTAATTGGTCTGAGATCGGCTAATTCCATCTTTATTAGAACAACATTTAAGTATATATTAAGTATTGCATATTTTCCCATGGTAATAAGATAAATTTATTGGAAACTGAGGCTTTTCATCCAATGTTTCTTTTTTCGAAATTAGACTGTGTAACTTGGGTTTGATTGTAGTCAATCGAAGACTCCTTAACCAGATTGATTTAAATCTTTTTATCGTAGAACAATCATTTCTACAACTAATTTCCATTCGCTTAACTTGAAAGAAGTAAAAATTCTATCATATTTCATTGTAGAATACTCATTGGTGAATTGAAATTGAGCACTACTTATAAATCAGACCGTGTGAATCATACTATTTTGTTATTAGGATTGTAAATAACTGACTATCGAATTCGGCTAATTGACAGTAAACTGTATCATTTGCACATAAGACATGTATGCTGTACAATTTTTCTCAGGGTAAAAGTTGGAGTCACGGTCCGTCACTGTTAGAGAGTTACTGTGCTTGCCTGACGTAATAAAGTAGTTTTAAGTATTGGCTTTCAGGGCTTCGTAATAAACTGACATCGATGAGAGGATCATTGAAAAACCTCGGAGTGCTGGGCAGCTGTTTCGTCCTAGTGTGAGACTCTTCATAAGTACGCCAAGGTTCGAGCCCAGGACGTTCCGGTTACGAGGCGAGCTCGTAGACCATTGAGCTACTAGTACCTTATCCAATGACCCATGAGTTCCAACTTCTGCCAATTCATGATATTGTGCGATCACTAGCGGACATCATCCCCGAGTATTTGTCCGCATAACCGACTTGCTGTACTTCACTAGAACCTATGTCACCACCTACCTGAATAGGGCCAGTCATTAGTGAGCATCGGATTGATATTCGAGTGTTGGTTTGCAGGGGTACAGCAGGTCGGGTTCATGATGAGACCTTGAAATTAGTTTTCAATAAGTCCATAGAGGCTAGAGCATATTTATTCATCTGTACAAATAAAGTTATACCACAGAAATGATTTAAATTTATTTTATGGAAAGTAATTTCTATACAGTTAGCGTCTTACATATATTATGTCGCAAGTCTGGAATTAGACAGGCTTGTTAATTCCAATTCACTTAAAATTATTCCGTATGTTTGATGTCCCCATATATATGACTGTTACACTGAGTTAGTTTAACAGACTGAACACTTGTTTTAAGTCTAGCTTCATAAAGGCTTATAAAAACATTTAACTGATTCATTTATTTATATATGCTTGTTAAAATTCTGTTAAATTTTCGAACTTCAGTTACATGATACATTTTGAAATCACTGTATAAATACTGTCTATTAGTGAAAGTAGTCCCGATGTTATTCGTTAATCTTTATTTTCTAGAATGGCTAAACATTTGCGTTGAAGTTAGTCTTACAATCTATAAAATTAGTATTGAACAACTGTTTATTTGTGTTCTACTAGTTAATAAATATATATATATATATATTCAGTTTCTTAGCACATTTCCTTTCTCATCAACATCTTTTCATTCCGAAATTGATAAAGTACTAGGCACCTGGAGCAAAAGCTTCCGAACAGTAATCACTTTGCGTCACAGCTGTGATAAAGAATTATTATACAATTTCACGAAAATGTACATACTTTTTTCATTTTCCTGAACCTGTATTTTGTAGTGTCACTTTCAAAAATGTTATGAGAAATTTCGATATTTATTTATTTTATTCGGTTCACTATAAGCTAGTAATAAATGCTCAAACTGTGTCCATTGTTGGCCGATTATAAACACACGGAGGAATGAACACACCATTACAATCACACTACACTTATATTATTTAAAAACTAAGAAAATGGAAAACATTTATTACCGTCTTGTAGTTTCACCTACTACAAGAAATGTTAATGATGTGATATAATGTTTTGTATTTTTTTCACACATCTATGTGTAGTTTGGTGTATTGAACAACAAGTGTATTGATTTTGTTTTTGAAGAAGAGAAACGTGAAAATTATTCACTCTCTCACTCCTTTATCAGCATGACCTCATTTGGCTGTAACGTGGAAAGGCAGACAAATGTTATCTTTGTTGAACCTGGCATTGCTGTCTAATGACCCAATTTGTCACAGTTCGTATCTACATATCAACTAGAAAATAATATAAATTGAGACAAACATTCATTTTATGGTGAGATGTAAGAAATGAAAAAGAGTAAAGCTTTTATTAGAATAAAGATATAACATGAGTGGACCTGCATCAGTGTGAATCAGTTCTAAAGTGTCTCTAAGAGGGTTTTCAACTTTGGCTTTTTATAGTCAAGTGGACTCCAATTAAATGAGCTACACATTATTACACTATTCAGACCGATATATATATATATATATATATATCGGAATTATGGACTGAAAAGCAACAATTTGGCAGAAGAAGCACCAAAGATAGTACTTCACTTCAAGTGAACGTAGAGAAAACAGAGGTGATGAAGATTCCTAGCCAACAGCAACAACAACAGACAGAATCTGAAAGAAGCAACCTTCTTCACCTACCTGGGAAGCATCTTATTACCTACTGGTGGAACTGATGAGAATATCAAAGCAAGGAACAGGAAAGCAAGACAAGTTTTCATTTCTCTCAAGTCTGTGTGGAGGTCAACAGCACTCCTCAGCATGAAAAACAAGGTCTGGATTTTCAACTCCAATGTGAAGTCGATGCTACTTTATGGATCAGAGATTTGGCGCGTGATCAAGAGCACTTCGAACAAACTACAGACTTCCATCAACAGCTGTCTTCGCTCAATACTCAAGATCAAATGGCCGACCACGAAAGATCAGCAATGGTAAGGGATCTCTGTAGGCGAACCAACCCAGCAGGAACCAATTGTGCAAGAAATATGTAGGAAGAAATGGAGATGGATTGGCCATACTCTGAGAAAACCATCAATTGACATCACATGCCAGGCCGTCGGTCGAGTGAAATCCGAATGGGAAGTGGCGAGTTGGTCGTCAGTAAGAGAGTGACACGGAGGAGGTCATGTGAAGAGATGAAAAGATGTGGGCAGAAGTGGAGCCAAATCTGACGGGTGAAAAAGTTGGCGGAGAACCGAACTCAGTGGAGACGTGCGACTGAAGCCCTATGTTCTTCTGGGAACTAACTGAAACAATAACATTAATAATGGACTGATAAATACTTTAGGTTTAATCATTATGCAGTTTTTTTTCAACTTAATCCTAACTGTGCTGACATAGCATCTTCACGTATATGGTAAGTAGACATGTGTAATTTATTCATTTTACTCAGAATGGTGGACAAAATGTTCACGATGCTCAAATCTTAGTTTCATTAAACGTGGGCATAACTATGGAAGTAATGCTTGAGGTATCTTTGAGATATTTTCCTTTAATATCAATCAGTATTTAGTACTCGTGCAGTTTCTCGAAGTACGCTTACGTAGGGGATACAAGTGATCTTTACTGGTCTGTATATTTAGAGTCACAATACAACAAAAATTCGACACCTTCATGATGCTTAAATATAAACGCCGCATTCATCAATCAGTTCACATCGATGATTAAATAAAGTAGTAGAAGATTTATTCATCTGCTTACCTATATGTCCATTTATCTTGAATTAACAATAGTAAAAGTTTTACTATCTGACTAATTTTTTAAAATACTTTTCTTCATACAAACACAGATTATTGACAAATCGAAGCGAGATGCCAGAGAAGAAGTTGAAATTCTACTTAGACACCATAATCATCCAAATATTGTTTCAGTTCGGGATGTAAGTTGTTTGCAGTATTTGCATTTTCGCTTTACTTATCCAGTGTTATGCTTTCACCTTTTTGTTTTCTTTTTCTATTAAAGTTTAATACTGTTTCCTTTACTCACTTGATTACTTTCACTTTTTGTTGGTTTTGTGCGTCGGTGTTTCAGCGGTAGACTGCTAGCCAACTGTGCACGTGTTCCGGTGTTCGAGTCCCGGCCGCCATACGCCTTTACCTTTGTAGTCCCGACAAAGAGGGAGTTGAGCATGAGGCTAGCAACCCACCTTGTCAAAAACACCACAACTAGTGAGTGAAACCTCAAAGCTAAAGCTTGAAGCCCTATGTACTACCGGGGATGCGAAGGAATAAAAAGGGAAAAAAAACTTGATAGTTTTCAACTTTCATTCATTTTGTTGATATTTCATTAAGCAGTGTTATAAGATAGCCTGCTCAGCTGGTATTTTATGATTCCTATAAAGGTTGTTTTACAAGTAGTATATTCTCTAGCTGTATTTCCTCCTTTATTTCTCTAAACATTTAATTAAAATGATTTGATTTGCAGTCATAAAGGAGAGAAAGAAAAAATTAGGTAAATCAAAAAAGGCATCGATTCATAAACACTTTCAGTTGTGTGAGACAGAATGTTGATCCTCTTTTTAGACTAAGCAACACACTCAACACGAATGGTTGAAGACTATTTCGTGTGATTCAGGACAGATAATCCATTGTAATTTATTTCTTGCTATTTTAATGAATGAACTTTTAAATGAAGTTAATGTTTGTTGGTGAAGGAAGGAATTTCAACAGAATGACGCTCTGACAGTTAATGCTGCGTAAAGTTTTTCGTCAAGAATAAAATGGAAAACACTGACTATTAATTCCTTACTGGTATTTTTGTATCGATCAGAATAGATGTCATCATGAAACGCGGGACATTCATTCACTGTTTTTTTAAGTGTAGCTAAGCTTTTTCAAACTTCTTCCTCTTTGGTTCTCTCATACTTGTGTTATCTCGTTTGCATTTTTGTTAACAAACTGACTGACCTCACTGAACCATACCTATGTACTTAAAAAAGAGAACAATCAATTTGGTACATAAATATTTATGGGAAATTAAATATTACCAGATGGATATTGGGTCTCATACTCAAAGGGAACCATATTAGTTTCTGTGATTCTCGTGCACCAGCCTGCTCACGGGTCTCAAGTACGCCAATATATCTGTCTTAGATTCCGCTGCAAGTTACAGTCAAGGAAGTGATTTTAAATTGATATGAAGAATTTCTGCTGATTGTTTACTGGCTTTGGAACTGACTTTCTTAAAGTTATCTTAAGAAGAGGTTACTACGTGGGTCCACTAAGCCAAGTGTAATGAAAGATACCCACTTCTGACTTTGACAAGCTGTGATGCTCGCTCTATCACAGATTGACATCGGTTGAAATTCATAAGTGATTGTACTCCACTTTGTTGGCACATTAGTAAAGGCCCTCAATCTAGGGTTCGATCTCAAATAATTATGAAGTAACTGTCCAGTCGCACTTGAATTTAAATGCTTTTCTAACTGATTTCAGCTGGTGTGAAAATCCTCTTGTCAAAATAATAAAATCCTTGAAAACCTACCTATGCATTTTTGTGGGATTTCATAAAAATTTGCAGTGACCGCTTGAAGGCTTAATATATATATATATATATATATATATATATAGTGTTCACCTTGATTTTCTTCTGGCTGTTTCTGGTAGTAAAATGAAAGCGAAGACTTTGAGGTTAACGTTTCATTGCTTTGCGGCAAATTATATCTATTATAATATACCTACTGTTTCATAATATAGCTGCTTCACATGTATATATGTATATATCAATAGATTATCTACAATAAAATCTATATCAATGGCTGGCAATTAATTATATCGATTTTGTTTATCACTATATCACTTTCATTTGATCTGATTTATTTGCTTAATTATTTGGTTCTTGTATAGACATCAATAATTAAAGGACTTTATTCGTCACTGGCTGTTTTTTGTTACACAAATTTATATTTGGTGATAGTTACATTATAATAACTGACCAATAATGGTCAATCGATCTTTTGTCGGCAAAGTTCAAGAGTAGACACCTTGCTAACCATACACATGTGAGAAGCGGGAAACCGTTTGCCGGCTGATGCGCCGCTAAACCTTGTCTAGTTCGGCAGCTGCGAAAGTAAGCTGGCCAAAGAGACAAGGTTGAACCTGGGGCCAGTAACCTAAGCCCATGTTCTACACGAAGTATAAGGAATATGAAAATTCAGTGAAAATTGAAGGAGCTTGTGTAGCAAACAGTGAAGATGAACGACGCTGTGTCGATGACTGATTTCCACAGTGATGAATATATACACAAATGCATATTTCAGGTATGACTTATATTTGAATTTTTCTATGATGGTTACTTTATCCAATCTGGATTTGGGCTTTTTCAGCCCAACAGTTCCGCTATTGCTGCACTGATACCAAACTATCGAAAGGCAAATGATTTGCACAATCTTTCCTGGTTTAATAGAGCGATTTGCCTACAGACAGTTGATAAATTGCAAATATAGATTTCTTGTCCTATGAGATTGCCAAAAACAGTTTTTTTTAAGTTTGCGATGCAATCTTTGGGATAACTGAAACCACACCGCTTCGAACTTGTGTTTTGCTTTGTCCAGAATTTTATATCGCATAAAGAAATGGCAGCACAGTTCTAAAGATGATTAGAGAATTTGTGTTTGAGTTAGAGAACAACAACAAGTTATACAGTAAATAAGTCTAAACATATGGGATTTATTGATAAAATCATATTTTGACGTTGGGTTGTTTACATTCAAATTTTACGTGAAACTTGGTTTTTTCACAGTCACAGATAAGCTTTACTAATAAGTGACCAACAGCCAGCTTTCTAAGGTCTGTTAGTGTTTTCTTCCTTACGCAAATGTTAAGGATCTAAAGAAACCCTCTTTATTACAGAAGAATAGAATGTGAACATGCCTCCCATTCTTCGCATCTCTTTTTTCAAATTGTTTTTTATTTCATAAATAATGTTTTCATGTGGGTAGATGCAGAACTTCTCATAACGTGTGTCTTAAAATCTATTTGCGTGGTAAAGATTGATGATTTTACATCAAATAGTGTCTTTTTATCGGGACAACTCCGAATATCTATTTGAAATCTTATGTACATTTCTTAAGTCTTTGTGGATAGTTTCAATTTCGTCAAGTTTCATCTTGTAACGCCTAAGGTTTTGGAATGATATGATTTTGTGCTAGCGATTAGTGACTTCCCTCAGTCAATAAAATACAGCGGTTGAAAACTTGAATATTTTCTGCTGTATTCTTACTTCTTGGCTGGAACTCTTCACTTATTTATTTTTGTCTACTTAAATGTCTGTTTTTTTTTTTAATTTGTATAATTTGCGGTCAAGCAAAGTGTCTCACCTATAGATGACTATCAACCTGCATGAACTTGAATTGTATGTTTAGTCATGTAAAATGTAAACAGATATTCAGTTATTTTTATACTTTATGCTAGTTTTGCTAATTTTTGTTAATTTGTGTTAATTTTTGTGTTTCTTAGTATTCACTTAACGTGAATATGTTAACCTGAAAGCTTAATATCAATTTCTTGATTTTGTGATAAATACTTTTCTGATGTTGAAATTAATCTCAATTCCTTACAAATGCTATGTAATCTGAATACTACTATTCAGCTCATTGCTGCTCCACTGGATGATGGGCTTCCTGAAGCTGCAGTGGAAAGCTGTGACCAGTGAAGGGTCCACCGTGCCAAGGTGGAGTGGATGATTACTGAATACATAATTGGGGGCAGCACCATATCACAAATTGATAGAGTTAGAATTCAGAGGTCTTGGGTTTGCTCTACTGAATAGTCCCATACGCAAACGAAACTGCTGTCCAGCTCACCCCTGGTTTACAGTTGTCTCTCTAACTGATGCTGTCTCCTGACGAAGATCTTACTGTTAAAATATTTTTCTCCTATTATTATTATTATTATTATTGTTCCCTTGGATTCCTAGTGGAACATAGGGCTTCAACTGCACGTCTCCACTTGCCACTTCTGTCTTCTGCTGTACTTTTCACATGCATCCATGTTAGTTAGTCCATACTGTTTCAACTCCTCTTCACACGATCTCCTCCATGTAATCCTTGCACTGACGTCCCACTCACCGCTTCCCTTTCGGGTTCCATTCGAGCGATGGCCTGACGCGTGCACGATGTCACCCAGTGGCCTCCTCAGCGAGCTAGTGTCCAATCCATCTCCATCCACTTTCTCCTACATATTTGTTGGTTGACGACTGGTTCTTGTTTTGTTTGTTTGTTCCCATAGTTTCTTGTTGGTGATTGTTTCCGGCCCAGCCATCTGATCTTCAGTATAGAGCCAGCGAAGACAGTTGTTAGTTGATAAAGGTCTGAAACAGGCTGTTGGAAATATTTCCAGATTGGTTTCAGGTTAATGAATGTATTTCTCATCTTCCCGATTCGTGATTTGACATCCTCGTCCGTTCCTCCTGTAGTTGAGACTGAAATATTACCGGTTTAGTTTTTTCATCGGATTTTGTTACTTCGATACAAATATATATACTGTGAAGATCAGTATTGTAAAAGAATACTCAACATTATTGGATCCGAAGCAGTTTTCTATTCATATATTTGTAAAAAGATTTCATATCGAAGTGTTTAAATCATTGTTGTTAAATCTATTCTTACTTTTTTGTTATCTTGTTTAATTTGTTTACTTTTATTTAAGGTATATGAAAATGAGAATATAGTCTATTTAGTTATGGAGTATTTAAAAGGTGGGGAATTGTTGGATAGAATAATCCGTCAAAAGTGTCTTTCTGAACGTGAAGCTAGTGATGTAATCAATGTGATTGCAAATACGTTGAATTATTTGCATAGTAATATGGTAAGCTTTTACATATATATGGATGGATATACATATGTGTATGTTTCTATACATGACGTTTGCCTGTCGTGTACATTCTTTAAAGGTTTATGAATAAATGGTCGAACATTACAGACTCAAAGTTGACTGTATGCTGCACTACATGAACATTTGTTTAAAGTTTGACTGAAAATTATCATTGATGACAAACACTGATCATTTCTCTTAAAAAACAACTCCCGGTGACTATTCTTTTTTGTCGAAATGGTTTAGCTTTCACTGAAAAGAATGTCATCCCTGAAAATAATGGATAACAGCACCAATTGTGCAGATATCAAATCTCTTAATTCTGTAGGATATAAAGAAAAACATATAATTGATAGGATGTGAATGAGGATAAAGGCTGTTGAGAGGTGTATTCGTGCATAGTATAGTAAATGTTACAAAACATATTCTAGCTACGTGAAGAATTTGCTAGAACATCTTTCAAACAGCCAAAGGTAACATCTGGTATGATTATAGCCTTCCTTTAGGCTCGTAACGCGAAATCAACTACCTGTAAGAATTCAAACAGCAAATGACCGCCTCCATTCTACCTATACAAGTGTACTAAAACGAAAACGCGGCAGGCTTGATTCACGATAGGGTATATCATCGTCCATATACATAATATTATACATTAAAAAAATCTGTTGCTTAAGTGTAAACGGCGGTTATTATTTTAAGAAAATGTACAACTTAATTGAAATAGCATATTACCAGCTTATAGACAATTATTCTGTATATCCGTATTCACTTATTATCAGTCGTATTTTTTTTATGTACTGCATGTTTGTCCTTTTCTATCAATGAAGCTCAGTGGAATGTACAATAGACAGTTTTTTTATTTGAAGTGTTTTACATGTTTCTTGGATTTTTGTGATTACTATTAGTTGCCATTTGATGAACATTTAGTCCTAGTGTATTTATTTGAGATATGGTAACGCATAAAAAATTTTTAATAAATGAAGTCTTGATTATGTGTTCTTTTATCTCTTAACGAGAAGAAAGACACTATGCACTTGTGTTCGAGGCAATCAACACGAAGCCCTTGAGCTAGGATTCGTTCTCATCTACCCTGTTCACCAAGGCGTGATATCCCCTCTAAAATTCAAGCAATAACCTGTCGAAATCATGATTATTACTGATTTATTAGAGTCCGCATATGACTGTAATCGTTATATTAATTGGTGTCACTTGAATGCAACCAACAGACACCTGAATATAATTATATATTGAAATGACTGTTTCGTGACTGAATGTTTAAATTTAGCTGGAGGAGAATTCTAGGGAATATAGTACAATTGAAGTTAAAAAACTACACACTTTGATTCCTCTAGAATTCATCTTATCTTTATTTTTGTCTGAATAATATATAGATGAGTTTGTATACTTTTTAACACTAACATTTATGATTGAATTAGCTTGCAAACGTTTTCGAAGTACTTTGTAATAAATTAACACTAAGCTACAACTGCATAATAAATACATGGACTTTCGACAGCGTGTTGGATATTTCAGGAAACATTTTATTATAAGAATGAAGTTTGGTGTCTAACTTATCCCTGAGTTTGAACAGTTGGCTCGTGCATTGATGAAAATTACCTTTTCTTATTAAGAGTTTTTGCAACTCAAACTGTGTACTGTTTTCTCATTAACCAATGATTTTTTTTAATTTGACCTCAACTACATATATCTTGTATTTTTTGATGTGACACTGTCATAAACAACCTGGCAGAGGGATTTTTTCAATTGTAATCTGGAATATCTAAATGGTAACCTGTATAACTGCAGCATTGGGTGATGCAGGTTGAAATCTCTGAAGCGGTCATCAATCTGTTCCTTTGAAGCTGCAGATGAGTTCTTTCTGACAAGTTTCAGTGGCCATGAAACTTAGAAGTAGGCCTTCGTAATAGCAGAATTTTAGCTATCTACATTTGCGTAAATAATGAATCGCGATAACTTGTCTTTCATAGCTTTTTATATACATACACATTGAGTTAAATAGGTTTTGATTTGTAAATAAACTTAATACACTTTGTAAATAATAATGATAATAACATCCTTATCGTGGACAGTATTTATGAGGTTTACAGAATTTTCAGAGGAGTTTATTGCATGATATTTTGCCTTCGTCCGATATCTTCAAGTGAAATCTTAACTGAAAGTATATTCTTCTTGTGACACAACAGTCTCTGAGCTGACGCTCAGTTATAGAAAAATGGGTTGTATATTAGATTTTCATTCCCAATAAAAACAAAAATGCTAATGATTTCGTTTTCATATGGAATATTAGTGTGCAAATTATCAGGTAAAATGAGGAAATTGAAAATCAAATCACACTGAGCAAAATTCTTATCTCTAGTTTTCGTCTACATTGAAATAAATGAGCTGATCACCAAATTAGTTGCTGTACAACCACATGGAATCAGAGGACACCAGTTCAAGTTTTGTCACAACTCAGATTTTTATCCTATCTTATATGGCGCCTCACTGCATGAGTCATAGCCTACAAGTCAAAGCTATTCTGGGCAGTCTTACTATAAGCAGTCGAACCGCTGAGAATGAATTTTTTTGGTTGGACACGAATTAGTGTCATGTATCTAGTCCTTTGTTAACTGCAGACTGTATACTCTCAGTCAAGTTTGCAATGTGGCCACCATGCTAGGTGGTAGCTCACCATCACGGTTCACTCAGGAGTGTTGCTATTAGATGGTTGGGGACAATCGACGGGAAGCCTTCGACCTAGGCTTCGTGCTTGTTGGCTCTCACTAGTCAGAAAAGCGTATCTGTAATCTTGAAGGAACTCATGTCCCTTCTGAGATTGGAACCCGCATCACCCAGTGGTGCAGTCAGAGACGTTACCACTGTATGTTGTATATTTTGGTTGGACACTAGTCAGTAACTAGTGTAGTGTGTCTAGTCCTATCTTCGGTGTAGATTGCAGATATGTCCTGCTGACGAGTGTCAATGAGCACGAAACCAAGATCCAAGGCTTCCTGCAGATTGCCTCCAAATATCTTTTAACCTCATTGGTTAATGAGGATTATAATACCTAACATCATAATTATGTTTTCCTAATGATTTTAACAACGAAACCTTAGCAGATTAATCACTTTATCAATATTGTTTAGTATCAATTTTAATCTTATAATTATTATTTTATTATTATTGCTCCCTTGGGTTCCTAGTGGAACATAGGGCTTCAACTGCACGTCTCCATTTTCTTCTGTCTTCTGCTATACTTTTCGCCTGCATCCATGTTAATCCATATTCTTTCAACTCCTCTTCACACGATCTCCTCCATGTCACCCTTGGACGTCCCACACGCCGCTTCCCTTTCGGGTTCCACTCGAGGGCTTGGCGCGCGATGTCACCCAGCGGTCTCCTCAGCGAGTGTCCGATCCATCTCCACTTTCTCCTGCATATTTGTTGGGCGATTGGTTCTTGCTTTGTTTGTTCCCATAATTCCTTGTTGGTGATTCTTTCCGGCCATCTGATCTTCAGTATTGAGCGAAGACAGTTGTTAATAAAGGTCTGCACAGGCTTTTGGAAATATTCTTTGTGACCCGCCAAGTTTCTGATCCGTATAGAAGAACTGACTTTACGTTTGTATTGAAAATCCGAATTTTGTTGGTGATGCTGAGTGACGAAGATTTCCAGATTGATTTCAGGCTGATGAATGTGTTTCTCGCCTTCCCGATTCTCGATTTGACATCCTCGTCCGCTCCTCCTGTAGTTGAGACAATGCTCCCTAGATAAGTGAATGAAGTAACCTCTTTCAAATCCCTCCCGTTGATGGTGATTGACGTTGGATGTTGTTGCTGTTGTTGGTTGGTTATTTTCATAACCTCCGTCTTGTCTATGTTTACCTGGAGTCCTGTCTTATGCTGCTTCTTCGACCAGTTTGTCGGTTTTCGCTTGTAAGTCTTCGATTGTGTGTGACATCAAACATAAATCATCCACGCGCGAAATCCAGGTCTTCTAGGTTCTTCACGTCGGTCCAGGATATTCCTGTCTTCTCGTTTCCCACAGTCTGACGCATAATCCAGTCCACCACAATTAGGAATATCATTGGTGATAATAAGCACCCTTGTCTGACTCCTGTGTTTACTCCAAACGCCTCGCTGAGTCTTCCGTTGTGGATCACTTGACATGTGCCGTTGTCGTACAGCTGTTGAATAAGGTTGATGAATATTTGGGGTACGCCATAGTACTCGAGTAATTTCCAAATTACTTCACGATCAACGCTGTCGAAGGCCTTCTCAAAGTCTATAAAGTTGAGGTAGAGGTTTGATTGCCATTCCATGCTTTGTTCCGTGATGATGATGCGTAGAGTTGCAATTTGGTCAGTACATGATTTGCCTTTCCTGAATCCAGCTTGTTCTGGTCGGAGTTCTGTCTCCAGTGCGTCCTTTAATCTCTCCAGGATGATGCGACTCAGGATTTTACTTGGCGTCGATAGGAGCATGATTCCTCGCCAGTTCTTGCAGAGTTGTAAGTCGCCCTTCTTTGGTAGTTTCACGAGGTAACCTTTCCTCCAGTCAGTAGGCACCTTTCCCTCCTTCCAGACCTTTTGCAATAATGGAGTCAGCATGTCTGCTGTCGTCTCTGGGTCTGCTTTCAGTGCTTCAGGGGGTATTCCATCTGGTCCGGCTGTTTTTCCAGCTTTCAGAAGTTTGATTGCATTCAAGACTTCAGCTCTCGTTGGAGGATTGGTGTCAACTTGCAGTTGTGTGTGCGCTGTTGTTGGTATTTCTGGACGGGTTGCAGGTGATGGTCGGTTCAAGAGTCCTTTGAAGTGATCCGCCCATTGTTTAATCTGTTTTTCTTCCTTGGTAATGGGCTTCCCTTGGCTGTCTTTTATAGGTTTCGCTTGTGTTGGTCTCTTCCCGGATAGAGATTTGGTTATCTGATATAGTGTCCTCAGGTCCCTTTTGCCTGCTGCCTTTTCAGCTTCAGTAGCTAGATTGTCGTAGAATCGTCTTTTGTCCTTCCTAGCACTTTTCTTCACTTCTTTGTCCAATGCTTTGTAAGTTGAGCTCATCGTCTCCTTCTCCTGTCCGTCCTTGCATTGAATCATTTTCTCTTTCACCATTCTCCTCTCTTCTATTAATTTCCAAGTGTCCGTTGAGAGCCATTCCTTGTCTTGTCTCTTCTTTCTTCCTAGAACCGTTGAACACGTTTCGTTGAGAATCGCCTTCAGAGACTTCCAATGTTCTTCCACGCATGATTCTTCAGTGATGTCGCGTAGTGTTTCCTGCTTTGCTCTGACAGTTGCAGTGAAGGTGTCTTTTGTGGTTGTGTCCTTCAGTAATTGAGTGTTGAACTTGCATTGTGGCCTATCCCCAGCTATCCTCGAGGCTTTTAGTTTCACCTTGAAAGTCCCTTCTACTAGATAGTGGTCTGAACCCACATCTGCTCCTCTCCTTGACCTTGTGTCCAGTAGGCTCCGTCTCCACTTTCTTGAAATTGAGATGAAGTCTATTTGGTTTTTGGTGTTTCCATCTGGTGAAATCCATGTCGTCTTGTGTATATCCTTGTGTTTGAACACACTACCACCAATCACCAAATCATTGAAGGCGCAGAAGTCTGAGAAGAGTTCACCATTGTCGTTCATTTCACCGAGGGCCTCACGACCCATGGTGAGTTCTCTTCCTGTGTTGTCTCCTCCCAGCTTCGCATTCATGTCGCCCATCAGGATTTTGATATCGCCATTTGGGACGTTGTCCATTATTGCTTGTAGTTGTCTGTAGAACGCCTCCTTCTTCTCTTGTTCTGAGACGTTTGTAGGCGCATAGCATTGAATGACTGTAACTTTCCTTCCTTTTGAGTTGAACCTGGCTGTCATTATCCTGGAGGAGATTGGTTCCCACTGCATGAGAGCTTTGGTTGCTGTTGGTGACATCATGATGGCCACTCCCTCGGTGTGCTCATGGTTGTCCTCTAGGTGGCCGGAATAGATTACTGTCTCTCCAGTAGGTAGTTGGCACCTTCCAGTTCCGTTCCATCTGCTCTCGCAGATTCCCAACACTTCTATTCTGTACCTTCTCATTTCAGCGGCTATCTGGGCAGCCTTTCCAGTTTCGTACATTGTACGAACATTCCAGGTACCCATCCTTACTTTTGCTTTCATCGAAAGAAGGCACATCGGCTGACTGGCTTCCCGAAGGCTTTCACCAGCCTGCGTCATTTCACTTCCCCGATTCCAGCGAAAAGTAAGGCTATTGCTTATGTTTTTAGAATTTTTAATATATTTATTCGTTGAAGTTTCTGTAGCGATTTGGTTGTTTTACAGGGGTGGAGTTGCTAGCACCACGCCCCAACCCTCCCTCTTTACCCGGGCTTGGGACCGGCGAGAAAACTAGTAAGCTAGTAGCCTAGCAAGCTAGTATCTGGCGAGGTTAAATCTTATAATAATTTATCTAAATTTCTTCAATATATTAAAGGTCGGATTCTTTCATTTACCAGGTTGTTCATCGTGATCTTAAACCATCGAATATTCTGTATGCAGATGACTCTGGTCGTTCATCTGCACTACGAATATGTGATTTCGGTTTTGCTAAGCAATTAAGGGCAGAAAATGGTCTATTAATGACACCGTGTTATACTGTGAATTTTGTTGCACCTGAGGTAAGCTATTCATCGAATGCACTTTATCCTACCTTGTTATTGTACGTTTTTTCTGTTTAATTTCTTCTGTTGTATACTATGCTGAAGTCCTGAATCAATATTTATGTTTCATTTTTATTCAAGTATTGGTTTGCAGGGATTTGTTTGATTAGTTACAGGATTTCATCATGAGCTGACATTGGTTGAGAACCATTGGAAAATCTGGGAGTACTGGACAGCTGTTTCGTCATAGTTTGAGTTTATTCTAGCGGTACGCACCCACCTGGGTTTGAACCCAGGACCTTCTGGTTACAAGGCGAGGTAGCTCGTAGACCATTAGGCAGCCACTGGGACCCGATCCAATGGCCAGACCATGAATTCTAACTTCTGCCGATTCTCGATATAGCGCAACCGTTAGCCAGTGTCTTCGGCGAGTATTTGTCCTCACACCCGACCTGCTGCACCCTACTGGTCACGACTTCTCACTAGAACCTCAGGTAACTACCTACCTGAATAGGGCCAGTCGCCAGTGAGCATCTCATTGGTATTCAAGTATTGCTAGTTGGCTAGTTATGCTTTGTTTCATTCATAAAACATGCTTGAAATGTGAAATAAATTTTTATACATACTCCTGTTCTTGTAGTCATTTTAAAGTGGCACCTCTTGGCTAACAACACTCTCTGCAGTTTAAGATAAACTCGAATAGTTGGTTAACAAAGTATCCGGCCGCATAACCTCAAAATCAGGCAACAGTAATAATGAAGGCAAGACGTTATGCATAAAGAATAATTTTTAATTTATTAGGCTCATTATTCTGTGGCATTACTGTTTGTTGTAAGCAAGTTGACAATTTCTTTTCGAACAAATTATCATTATTATTATTATTATTATTATTATTATTATGTCGAGGATTTTGTTGCAACGAATATCAAATGTAATGACTTTCTCCGTTTGTGTATGAACATAAGCAAACACACTTTCTTAGCTTTTCACGCCCTCCTGGTTTCTATTGGACTGTTAAGCTGTTACCTTCGACTATGATGATAACATTTATAATTGCCAGAAATTAATTTAATTTATACACACATGACATCTTAATTAAACGAACTAGTTTCACTTTGTAGAACTTCTTAAAAATGAATTGTGGAAGCTCTAATTTCTATTTTACATAATTTTATCATGTGTTGAATATATTCTTACGCGTTAGGCATACATACACCACCTGATTGTTCATCGCTTGAATTTAATGAAAAGAAATTATTCAAATGAATAACTATTCACAAGTTTAATAACTTCTGGATAAGCGTAACTGAAAATCTTTACATTATTCTTCATTATAATAAATAATTGTAAATATGAAATTGTCTTTGTTATAGCTTGAATTCAAAGCCTAACCATCAAGCAACGAATTCTTGTGTAATTATAGAGGGCAAGAGACTTGACAAAGGAATGTTTATTTGGAATTTAGTATCTCTATTATAGCAAAATTATGTAAACCTGATCTCAAAATCGCCATTTGTACAAATCTTCCGTGTTGTGCTACATCTACCCTTCGTAATTTGTTTCTTCATTTTTCTTTTTGTGTCCCCCATGTTTCGCCGTTTAACGCCGAATCAATCATTTTCTCTCACTGTTGTTAAATCTCTATCTCTCTCTGTCTCCGCTATTTGATATTCTTATGCCGATGAAAATCTCTTTATATAACATTGATAAATCATATCAGTAGCACACGTGACTTTTGCACTGTCTTTCATGATTAACGACTTTCTCCGGTCATATGGCTTCTCTAATGAAATCAGTACGTCATGTGAAAAAAATGCAGTGATAGAAAGATAAAATTCATATTCCGCAATTCAGAATTTGGCGTCTGACAGAACCTATAAACTTTTGAATTATATTATTAGTAAAAGCTTTTTTTATAAATCTACAGCGAACCCATCAGTCCAATTTAAACTATTGTTAACATTAATCACTATGATAGAGAATAGGTAGATGGATTTATTGTCGATTTGAACACTGACAACAGCATCAGTAGTTGTATTTACTGAAAGCCAACCACAGTTCCTTCGGGATAAATATGACCTGTTTTTAGCCAGACTTCTGCTTCTGTAGGAGTGGCAGCACAAACATCACACTTCCATCAACACACCACACACTGTATCAGCAATATCTTCTGAGTGAGTATTTCCGTTTACAGAGTTTCTTCTACAATTTTTGTGTGAACAATTCAGCTTGTTTGATTCTTAACAGAGCTAATCGGAAAATGCCGTTTGTTAATAATGAAGGTCTACGTGTTTCACAAGTAGACATTGGTTCTAGGCGAAATATGAAACTGAATTCGTAATAAAACAGATATTCAGTGAAATTTTTGCTTTCCATAGTTAAAATCAATATTTTTGTGTCTTCTTGGTTGTTTATCGTTCTTTTTTTCTTTTCACCTTTATATCAGAAATATTTATGAGTGTTTCTTTTTTCTTTCTTTGTATCATTTCAATGTATACACATATCTAAAGGTACTTAAAATGCAAGGTTATCATGCTGCATGTGATGTATGGAGTTTAGGTGTGCTAATGTATACAATGTTGTTTGGACAAACACCATTTGCATTTAAGCCCAATGATTCACCAGAGGTCATTTTATCTCGCATAGAATCTGGACGATTAGATCTAGTTGATAATGATTGGAATAAAATATCTGATTCAGCAAAGGTATGTGCTTTCTTCTTATAACTTTTCTATGATGATTATAAAGTTCTTGAATAACATTAGGAATACGTATATGTGTATATATTATATGGTTGGTATATTCTCTTTTTGTTATAAACACTCCCGTTACTGCGAAATAAAGTTCCCCAGACTTCGCTGACTTCCTTCTGCATTGTTCACAAAAGTCATGTTACTTTCAACAGAATAAATCCAATAGGTATGCAATTACTTTGGAATACATCTGTTCACAAATCCCCTGGTAGCTGATACTTTGTAGTTCTATCCTCCTACAGTGTGTCTATTCACTCAGCATTGTACAACTTGACTGCATATAGCATAACTCGTTGGTGTTTTCTTCAGAAGACTTTTGTTTTTTTATCTAAAACTTCACTGAAATCGTCACTAATGGTCACATGCATGTACGTATTTATCAAATTTTTCCTTGAATTGCTTTTCTGTAGTCATGTGTCCTCACTTAATATGAAACACATTTAGGTTTTTTATCCAGTAGTTTATATTTCCTCAGAAATTTTCTGCCATTACATATATTTTAATTATCTCCTATTCGACACAGTTGTGGAATATATCACTTTAATTTTTAAAAAGTAGCACCTCCGATCTAATTCAAGCAGAAGATAATAAACCACAACCAAAAATAGTGATAATAGCGATGGTAATCTTGTTGATTTTGTTAGAATAGACAAAAGTAGATCGAATAATGAAAACACTTGTGAACCTTGTGTAATGCTGTCACTGAATGATATACACTTTACTAGTGTTTTGTTATAATTTATTACATATGATATTTTCTAAAATATTCACGTCTATTTAGTATAGTCGTTTACATTGATTGGGGATTAGAGAGTAAGCAATGTAATCTGTCTACTAGACCTTAGTGTTGGTTGTGATGACTAAGTTTCGCTGGTCAAGTTTGGAATGTGGTCATGAGACTATGTAACTGCACCGAGGTTGGTGTATTTTCCGAAGTGTTATCAAGACGTTGGAAGCGATGGTAAAGCTTTCTTTAGTTTTCTGTTTGTTGGTTGAATGTGTTCTTATAAATGCATCCCTTTCCTAGCGAGTCGAGGGAGGACGTGATTGTATGTATTAGTACTAGTAGAATTACCACAGTTATGCATGCAGTTAATATGATGTGAGGAAGGATGGGTGCTGCTTTAATGAGGCAGTCATAATTTCAGTAGTTGAATGTGTGAACTTAGACATGTATGACACTTAAACATTGAGAGGGTTACATGACTACTGTTAAGATCAACTAGTTCATTAACTGGATGATTTTTGCATTGACTTTCAGAAAGACTGAACACATTCACACAACTTCTTGAGAGACGAGGACTGCATTCAGTGTCATCCTGTGGTGCAACTACTCGGGTGTCCTCTCTCTGGGTGAACCATTCATTCCACTAGTACATGTATTTATATACACGCAAGCATAATTTCTGCGATGAATGACAGTGTGAATCAGTTATGTACTGGATAGACAAGCCATATGTGACTTATCTCGAATACGAGACTCACCAGGCTCAATATTATGAGTGGATGAAACAGGCATTTCAACGCCATAGTGAATAAGGCCCTATGAACATGGATATTATAGAACCAATTAAACGAAACTATTAACTATGTCAAACAATTTATCATATGAAGAATTTGAATGAAAGTCAATCTGATCGAAAAAAGTTTTTTCAAATAATTCTCCTCACGATCTAACAGTTATACGTTATTATAAGTGAAATACAGTTGCAGTCCAACAGCACTTAAAAAGACTTCATATTACGACACACCATCATAGTGAAGCTTGGATACTCTAAATCACTGTCATTCTGTGAACTATAGATGGGAGGATGTATACATATCTAAGATTATCGCTGATTAATCGTATTATTGAGGTATGAGAATAGTGCAACTTGTGTTGAAGCTCTTAACATGTCTTATGCTGTAGTTTCTATTGCATTTATAAGCAGTAAATTTGGTGGATAAGTCGGTGGCGGACATGCCCGAAGCATATCGAAGCGACTGAAATTAACCTTCATTTTTCTGGGCTATTCAGATGCGTTAGTATTAACGTATCCAAATACTATTTGTATCGTAGTCTGAATGTCTTTTACATGACCTAACAACACATCGTTTACATTCAGTCTCCAAAACATGTGATTCAAGCCGATATATATATATATATGCGTTTTGGTGTGAATTATCATGAACTTTTATTCTGTTAATATGTGAGATTCATCCCATCTATTGTTTATGTCTGTCTGTTTTCGACATAGAACTTTGCACACATGTGCGGAAGTTCAAGTCGCCACACTCCGTGAAGCACGCGAAGCAAGAGAAGAAAGTACAAGAAAAGCATAATAGAAACAGTGAGCAGAGATGTGAGACAAAGGAGTAATAAAGAAAAACAAAACAGTTTCATTGGAGATCATAAGTCACAAGGAGTGGATGCATCTGCGCCACTGAGAACGATTTTGAGCCATGTCACCAATTGTTGCCAACCATAGATTTTTACCGTCCCGAGGACCCCAGCCTGGAAGTCTACACCTTCCTACGTGGCTTAGACCAACTGTTGTGGATTTCATTGACTGGTGCCAAGTTTTTGTCTGACCGCCGCTAGCTTTTTTCCAGCCTGACCCTATGTTAGCTAACATTGCTCGTCGAGGGAGGCGATGGCTTGGCATACGTAACACATGTCCTAACCCTCTCAGTCTTTGTAACTTCACGACTTCGTCGATTGATTTCCCCTGTTTACCTAGAACTCTACGCCTAACCTCCATGTTGCTCACCTTATTATGCCACTTTACACGGGAAATAGAACGCAGGCACCTATGATCAAAGACAGCTAGTCTTTTCATGTCTTCCACTCTCAGTGGCCAGGTCTCACAACCATAAAGGAGGACGGAGCGGACTGATGAGCAGTACACCCGCCCTTTGGTCGATAGTCGGATATCTCGTCTGCGCAAGAGTCGGCGTAAACTGGCAAATGCGAAACGAACCCCCTGTATTCGTGCTGAGATTTCGTCAGAGATCAGCCCGTTGGGGCTGATGGTACTTCCCAAATAAGTGAAGCGGTCAACGTGCTCTACCACTTCACTTCCTATTTTTAAACTAGGCGTCGATGTAGTCCAGTCAGTCCTGTAACATCATCTTGCATTTTACAACAGGAGCCAATCGCATGCCAAACATTCGTAGATTGCGGCTCAAGGTGTTTAGAAGACTCTGCATTTCGTCAGCGTCTTCGCCTAGAAGGACTATATCGTCTGCATATTTGAAGTCAACGAGATTATTCCCTGGTAGCAAGTCAATCGCTGAGTCGCTGAAGTCACTTAGGGTTAAGTCCATTAACACATCTATGATGAAGTTGAATAGAAAAGGGGATAATGGGCATCCTTGACGGACACCACTGGTCGTCATCAGTTCAGATGACAGCTCGCCGTAAGCCCTCACCTGGCTGTATGAGTACGAGTAGAGTGCCTTAATCATTTCAATATATTTTCTCGGAATTCCCTTTACAGCCAAGCATCTCCAGAGAACTTCTCGGTCGACAGAGTCGAATGCTGCCTTTAGGTCAAGAAATATAATGACTGTTGGACGCCGGTAGGAATGACTATGTTCTAGAATCTGTCGGAGGGTGAAGATATGATCAATACACCCTCTTCCTGGTCTAAAGCCTGCCTGGTTCTCTCGTGTTTGTGCCTCCCGATCACCACTTAGTCTACGCATGATTATTGAGCCTAAGACTTTAGATACTTTGTTTATAAAGTGAGAGTATATCAAAGTTATCTGAGCTTTGCTGAATTGGTGTATTTATGGCTATCCTTATGTTGTATTTTTTATCTTAATCACAGTTTAGATATATAGTCTAGGGTGAGTCATCTGACCTTCGATTTGAACATTTTTGGTAGTATTGGGTTCTCTTGATTTTGCTATGCAGCTTTAGCAGTTATCGTAGATAATAAATGAACTTCTTAGTACTTCTCTGTATTTTTTTCACAAGTTAACCGATGAACTAAAATTACTTTGGCACACATCTCAGCAAAACGTGTGCATTAGATTTTCTCTTTCCACTACAGTGTGCATCATTGTTCAGCGCATATAAAGTGTAGTGTGCTGTCCTTGTAAGTTTCACTCTAATTAGAATGATAAAAAAAATGTTTGAGAATTTCTTACTTTCGTCTAGTTAGATGTCTATGTTAAAAAGTTGGTGGAGTCCACTAACTATTTGTATTTACAGAAAGTTTTTTATAAGATAGGCTTTATGTGGTAGCTGTTTGAATTAAAACTACTATTCATACGAAGATGTAGCATCGATAGTGCGTCAGACTGTGAATTTGTTGTTAAACTAGCCGTGATTTATCTTGCTTCATTTTGTTGTTGTAATATTTTGATAAAATTTCTAGTGATCGGATGATTATATACGCGCTACTGGCTTTTGACAGAGTACTAGGTTTCGTAGTTTCACTCTCTTAGTTCATGACTCAAATGTTTCCTCCTGTGACTGTTGGTAACATGATGATCTTTCCATTTCTGAATCTTCTGATCTTTTTCCTTCTTTGATTATCTAGACGACTCTGTTTCTTCTTCTTCTTCTTCTTCACGCTAACGGTACGACGGTTGAAGAAGTTTCATGTTAAGTTTGTTCTTTCAAGTCATAATGAGATTGAGTTGTAGTTACTGTTGGGAGAAAGTTTAACTTCACAGTTGTCATTGTCTTTTTGAACGACTTCAATTGGCTTTATAAATCTGCCAAAGCGTTTTAGTAGTGTGTTTTTTACTCAGTGAAGGACAATATAGAACAGTAAGCTCCTAGAGAATTTGATACTTCTAGATTTCAGCCTAATGTCATGCAATTAGCGTTTCAGTAAATCACTGTTAGTATAAGTTTACTGATCCTATTTTGCTGTAAGAGGCTACGGTGTTCTCCAAGTCACAGTCTCCTTCTGTGAAGGTTTTACCACCATCCTTAGTATTCATAAACTGTACGGCGA